AAAATCTGGATAAAACATTAATTCAAATAATTTTTTCATGATTATACAAAAAAATATGAAATAAAAAACTTACAAATTTCGTATTATACGCTAAAGGATTTATAACACCGACACTGGAATTTGGAGCATTAGTAAAAACTTTATTAAAGTTTGTTTCACGATTGATTAATTCCATTTTAAGATATTTCTTTTCATCCTAAAGAAAATAAATTTTAATAAATTTATATAAAAATAAATCAATAAAAAAATAACAATAAATAATTACATGAATCTTTTTTAATTGTTCTTGATAAGAACAAATTGTTTGTTGAAGTGTAGTCATTAATTCTAAATCTTCTGATCTTGATTCACGATTACGATATCGTTCATCAGCTTCATCAAGTCTATTTTCAAGAAAAAAAAAGAAAACCAGATTCCAAAAATAAAATTCTATTTTTATTTATTTACTTTGATTGAAGTTCAGAGATACGTAATTTAAGTAATTCATGTGCTTTAGAAAATTCATCTAATAATTGTTTTTGTTCATTATCATGTGTTCGTACAAGATCACGAATTTTTTCTTCATTTTCATTACGTAATTTTTCTTCACGATGTCTGACAAGACAAAAAAAAACAAATAAATAATTATAATAAAATTTATTTCTTTTGTTCTTTTTTTTCTCTTCGTTTTTTTTTATACTTCATCTCTTTTTGTGTTTCATTTCGAACACGTTGCAATTCTTTACTACGCATATCAATATCATGACGGAATTGTTCAATTTGTTCTTGAAGTTCATTTAAATCTCGTAGACAATTATCAATCCGTGATTGTTTTATATTAAGATCACTAGTAAGATCTTCAATACGTAAATCAGCTTCACGTTCCTATATATGATATTAAGATAAAGCAATAAATAAAAAGAAAATAATTTTATTTTTTAACAAACTTTTATTTTAGTTAATTCAAGAGCACGATCTAATTGTAGACGAATAGCAGCTAATTCTTTGCTATGTGCTCGTTCTTTTTCTTCTAATTCATTTGAATATGTTCGAGATACATCTTTTCGTAATTGTTCTAAACATAGAAGAATATTATTTTTTACA